AATGAAGTGTGTAGCACACGTATCTAGGCTCACGCATACATTCAAAGCTATCAAATATTTTTATTCTATAGAAATATTAGCAAAAAATGAAAGTCTGTGTATGAATACAAATATTGATAATGAAAACTGAATACGTATAAAGTGATCTTTTCAAGTGTTGCCATTGCTTACTATACATTTTATAGCAGATTTTTCGAAATCATTACTTATACAAAGAAATCGAAAACGCTTAACATTTTGACATTAAAACGATGCGATAAGTCTTTATTCCATCCAACTTCTCATTTTTCATTTTTTTTGGTACAAAACAACATATTTTCGATATGTTGAAGATTTATTATGAAAATACGAATCAATTTCCGTTGAGAAACATAGAAAAATTATTGATCGACATTGAAAATAGCTGCTATGACCTTGTAGTTTTGTTGGAAATTTCATGGGAATCAAATGTCTCGTATCTGGGAAAAAGTGTGCTATCGTATATAGCAGAATTCGCGCAAAGTTTTATCCACTATCAAAATGGCCGAACATTGATTTTCATTCGAAAATCCATCAATTCAAATCAAATTGAAACGAGCATTCGTAAGAATATATTTATTTTAAATTTTTCACATTGACTTTATATTTAATATATATTCGACGATTCTATTCGACTCCATTTTATTATATCCTTTCATTTAGCGGACACAATTGCTCTAGCAATTCAATCAAAAACGAAAAACTCTTGGATGATCGTTGCTTCATATTTTCCGCCACATATGGCAAAACATAAATCGGCACTCACAGAACCATTTAATAAAATCAAATTGTTGTTAAACCAGAATAAGTATAGAATTTGGATCGGGGATTTTAACATTGATATGAAACATGAAAATGGTATGCCATATGAAACAACAAGGAACTCCAGAGTTCAAGCAAAAATTGCAAAGGAATATGTTGATATTTTTGCTACAAACGATTTAATTGAATACAATTTTAATGAAAATTGTGCTAAAAATGTTATCGATCACGTTGCTTCAAATGCGAATAATATTACAGTGCTTAAATTGGAACAACAACAAAAATTCGTAAATTCTCGGTCTGCAGATAAATTTCATGTCATTTTAGAATGTAACGTTGAAATCGAATAAATAAAAAAAATGATTCTTTTGTGACGTTCTTTTGAGTTTTTCAATTTGTATTATGATGATGTTGTTTAGTTTTTTTTCTATTAGATTGGTAATTTATTCCCGTTAAATACTTGTAAAACATTAAACTCTTTGAATGTAAGTAATTTTTGTATGAAAAGTATAAATCGGTTGAAAAAAAAAATAGAACCAGAAATCTAAACGTCCAATAATATGTTTACACTTCATCAGCCAAATAATAAAAAAGATGAATTTACAAGCATTCACATTTATCAATTATTTAACAAAAGAGAAGAAAAAAAAAACAAATTTAACATTACCATACTGATGCGATGTAAAATGTTTTATTCTCCTTCAACCAAATTCAATAAACAAACAAACATACAACCGTTCATTAATCTGAAATTGAATTGTTAACAAAAAAATTTCATTAATCTGAAAGAAGTATAAAAAATTCTAAGAAATGCTGACATTACGATTAAGTATAGAAAATATTTATTCTGACGAAATTCAAATAACAATATTGTTTTAAGATTATTGACCACATTTTTTCATGTGGACTTTTAGATTCGACTTTGACGACAAGTTGTCACCGCAAATAGTACACGAAAAATGTGTCCGTAATTCTGGATAATGGACACCCATATGATATTGTAATGACTCTTTACGAGTAAATCGAGCGCCGCAAATATCACAAATAAATTTTGCATTTTTCGGTCGTTCTATCAACAATTTGCTTGATTTTAGCATTGTTTTGATTTCGTCCGTAGTTTTTGTTTCATGTTTCCGTTTGATATGCGCCTTCAAATTAGCCTTATTCGAAAATAATCTATTGCATTCAGAACATTGTAGTTTATGCTTCTATTAGGAGGTAAAAAAAAATGAAAATTGAAAGAAACTGTGAAGGTAAATCATTTGAAATATATTACGCCTGTATTTGATCTGCTCTCTCTTTCTTGATCGTCCAAATATTGTCTAAATTCTTTGGCTTCTTTTTGTTGTGCCTGACAGAGCCTTTCAAAATAAATGTCTTCGTCTTGGTTCATTTTGCCTGGATATTCGAAAATAAGAAAAATCCTAATGTTCTACATATAATTCTTTTTTTCATAATTATAAGAAAAACTTACTTTGGTTGATTGTCAATTCAGATAATATTATGTACTTTGTTTTGTATTGATGCTACCAAAAATATTTGTAGCGTACGATTTGAGGTCAAAGTGAACGTTACATCAAAAATGTTGTAAATTATAGCAAAGTATAAAATCGGATCACTTTTATTTCGGTACAATTTCGTGTGTTTTAAATATGGTAATACTAAAATTTATTACATTTCATCGTTAACAGTCACAGAAGAAGCTATATTTTTATAAATGAATTTTTGTCGAATGTTATATGCTATCCGATTAATTTTCAATTGAATTGTTGTTAGAAAACC